GGCATATGAAGAGTGGAACCTCAGTCCTACTGTGAGCAAGGGTAAGGACCATGCACATTAGGAAAGAGCTTTGGAACAAAGGCCGCGCCCAGCAAACATCATCTCTGAGAAAACATCTGATCCACTAGGTGGTCAATATTTGGCCCGGGCATGCCCAGGGAAAAGGTGAATGACTCCTTGTTTGTCCACTATTGGTGTCCATGGTTTACATCTCTCTGACAAAGTATATCCTTAGAAATCCTCTCCCCCACCCCCTCTCATGAGCCCTCTATATAACCAGACTGAGAGGAGCCTCTAGCTTCACCCTGCTGGACCTGGTCTCCAGGAGCAAACAGCTAGACTCCTCTCCAGTTGGAGGAAAGCTGGCCAACTTCGGTAAGGCTCTTCCTCCTGGGTACTCGACTACTCTATTTCTTTCTGCCTGTGCTCCTTCTAGCCATCCATCTATTTTAATGAAACCAATCCTCCCTCCTTAGGACTTCCGGACCCAAGCTCAGGCATTAAAAGGAAAATGAGTCAGAGCCTAATTAAAATGAAAGCAGGTTTCCATGGGGATAGTTTGTATCTGGGTGAAGATAAGTGAATAGAATTGAGAGCAGGTGACAGAGGTGTAGGAGGGATTCCTCAGCTGTGATAAAAATCTTCCAAGGCTTGGGAAACCCTTTGCCCAAGGGCGTCTGAACTGTCCCGTTCCCTCCATAACAAGCCTGTGGCTTGGCAGGAATAGAAAGAGAAACCCCGAACCAGGAAGTATGCTTCCAGCCCTGTGTCCTACTCATTTATTTCCTTTACAAAAATTAAGGATGCTCTTTAAAAACAAAGTGGAATGTGTCCCAAGATCCAAACATGGGAGGTTGGGGGTGGGAAGGAAGACTAGGCATCTGGTGTTAGGGCTTCCCTCTGGGAGTGTTGCTGGAGATCCACAAGTCAGTGAGGGTGCAGCTAGGGAAGGTTGTCACCGGACTGTCAACGCTGCTGCAGCTCTTGGGTACAAAGCGCTGCCAATGGGGAGAAAAAGAGAACATGGGTTCTTGTGAGGACTGCGAGAGTAGTTTAAGAACGGATAGAATGAGTCTAGAGAAGAGTGGGAATGGGCTCTACTGTCAGAAATCTGAATGACCGTCACGTGCTGTGTATGGGACTAAGGTTCAGCACCTTTGGCCCTGGCAGATTTACACCTGCACCCCACATAATCTAGCCGTCACTTGTTTTCTCACCGTTATACTTCACCTGGCTTTGGGGAAATTTAAATGCGAGACAGTTGCAAGAGCAGACAGTAGACATTGGTGGTGCTGGGGTGCTGCTGGGATTCGGTTTCTGGATGTTTTAGAGAAATGAAGTTATAATAAGCCCAAGAACTGCGTTAGGTGAGTTGGTAAAAATTAATGGGCAATTTCTGCGAATTGGAAACAAGTAACCCCTTTACCTGGCCACATAGACCTGAGTGCTTTCAAAGTCTAAAAAGCAAGGGTCTTTTTAGGAGACCAAGCCCCCGTGTAGTGTTAGTCTACTGATATTTGGGCTTGGCTTACACAGACAACCTTCACGGAAGATGTGTTTCCGCCAACTGGGCCAAGGTTGTGTCATCACCTCTTCCTTCCAGTGGGTGCCTTGTGCCATCAACTAACTTTAAATGAATTTGTTCCATAATTCCAACGCTGCTGAATCGTGATAAAGGATCTGTAACCCTAGTGAGAACCATAGACCCCCCCAGACTTTCAAAGCTAGAACCCCTCATGTTTATGTTTATTAAAGCATAGGCCTGGAGAGGAAAAGGAAGTTGATCACCAGGGGGTATTGAGAGTCTGCTGTGAAGCCAGCACTATGATTCAAGGTAAAGAATACAAATACCACTCAATTGTAGATTATACAGCATCAGGTGATATGGACGGGTAAATGGTTGTTTGCCCAAGTTCACATGAGTAATGGTGTGCTTGGAAACAGAGGCCATGAAATCTGATAGCCGGTAAGTATCTGCTTTGTGATCTCCTTAGCGCTTGGATCCTCCACGTTATGGCTTTTGCTTTGGTGTCCTAACTACCTAAAGCCTGGCAAGTTTGCTTGCCAGTTCACACTCCCCACAACCTGTACTCCTTTCTACAAGGTTTTAAGTACAGGTTGGTGCCTCCACAAGGGCCAACTGTGCTAGCCACTGCTGCCACCTGCTGATTCTTTCAGGTATTACCAGCTCTTGTTATTTTGTGTGTTTAGGTTGGCCTGGAGTTCACTAGGTAGTCAGGCTAGCCCCAGACTTGCATCAGCCCTCCTTGCCTGTTTTATGATTGCACGCATGCATACACTCTTCCTAATTTCTGAAGAGAAATCACACCCAGGAAAGATAACCCCAAGACAAACGTGAAGAGCTCAGCAAGCGGGAGCCCCACAGCTGGGTTTTGCACAGCCAAGTGGCTCTTTTAGAGCAGCCGCTGCACGTGAATGCTGGATATTCTTCAGGGTGGCTGTCCCTTCTACACTCAGGCACCATCTTTTCTCAATAAACAACAAAACACACTCGAGTTTGATTTTATTACAGATTATTATATGTATGCTAAGGGAAGCTTCTTATTTCAGTACTGTGCAATCACAAGAAGTTGGTCTTCTTTAGCCATATACCGAGATTGTCTACAGTTATCATGAAACAGACAGGGTGGGTTAGCGTCAGATGCTAATTAGGAAGACAGCTCATTTCCTTCTCCATCACCTGTCTCCCACATGCTAAGTAGGGCCTTAGAGCCCCTGGCCTCCGAGATTCCTGCTATCCTTCCTGACCCTGCACTGAGGAGCAGACTACATACAGGCTGAGTGCCTTATTCACACACACACACACACACACACACACACACACACACACACACACACACACACACACACGGTTAAAGTAAAACTGTTCAGACTAACAAGCAAGAGAAACACAAAATAAAATTAATGATTAACTTAATGCAGCTGAAATGCACGTTTAAGGAAATGAAAAAAAAAAAAACTTTTACCTAGGGCTGATCTTCCCTTTCAGTAACATATTTCTTCAGGCTGAAAGATGCAACATTCTTTGCATTTATTTACAGACAAGGTCTCATGTATCCCAAGCTGCCCTTGAGTTGGCTATAGAACCAAAGATGACCTTGAACTTCCAATTCTCTTGCTTCCATCTCCCCTGAGCTACATTAACTGGGCCTGGTAGTTCTTAATCAAGAGTTTGAGGCCAGCCTGGGCTACAGAGCAAGACCCTGTATCCAAAACAATATCCAAAACTTAAAAGTTGATTGTTGTTGCTGTTGCTGTTGTGGTTGAATGTGGGGCCATTTGTATATTGGGGTATAGGCCTATATGGGTTTTGTAGTGAGGCGCACATTTGAATAGATGTTCCTCAGAAGCCGTCTACCATGTTTTCTAGGACCCGAAACTCACCAGTTACTGGGCTGGGTAGTAGGGGATCCTTATGTTTCCCCTTCACAGCATGTCCTCAAGCCCAGCTTTTTACTTACTGAACTACTTTCTCCTTATAGAGCTTAAAAAATTTATTGTTATTATTATAATAATAATTATTATTATTAATATTTTAAGTGTATGTATGCGTGTCTGTGGACAGGTACATGTATGTGTATGTGCCCACACAGGCCAGAAGCATTAGATCCTCTGGAGCTGGAGTTACAGGTAGATGTGAGCTGCTGCTCAGTGTGAGTGTTGGGACCCGAACTCAGGTCCTCTGCAAGAGCAGTATGTGCTCTTAACTGCCAAGCCATCTCCTCAGTCCCACTATGAGGAGGGCTGTTAGGTCTTGGGGTGATTTTTACATTTTTCTCCAAAGACCTAAGGGTATTATCAGACACTGCTTATCACAGACAACCTAATGCCCCTTGAGTCTGAACTCCAAATTTCATGAGAAATAACATCTTTTAAAAGCCCACAAGGGGGTCTAGCTCCAGCTGAGGTGCCTTTGGCTCTAAGGTGTGTGGTCTGTGATGGATGCATGTGGTGCCAGGTGAGCTGAGAGCTCTTGAGAGATGAAGGCAGGGGTCTTTGCTCTGTCCTTTCCAGAGAGATCTTATAGCATATTGTAAGTCCTTTGGCTTCATGAAGAGGTCTCAGTTTCATTTTGTCATGGTTTGTTTTACCACACTGGAAGATCTTGTGCCCGTGTTAACCACATTACAAACCTAGGGGAGACTAGAAACTGTTCTCCCGAGTCGTCCAAAGGGCTTCTGCAGAGACACACTGAAGAACAAGCCTGATTCCCCCTTTCCTCCGTAAGCATCTCTTCCAGGCCCACTGGTCCATTCTTCCTATGCACTGAATGGTAACTCTGCCCTCTGGGAGAAGTAGACCTGACCCCTTCACACCAAGGTGACTTGCTCTCAACAGTTTTCCTCATTGGTGAGGAACTGAGTGACCTGAGTGCCTGGAACCCCATCTCTGTAGCCTTGGGGGATTGGCTGCCCCTGTGGTCATGGTTCCCAGATGTCATTCCTCATGGCTCTCAGCTCCTATCTCACCTCAGGAGGCCCCATTGCTTCCCCTGGATGCCACATTTCTGTTTTGTTCTTCTCTTTCTTCCCCAAACGGAGTCTTCTATGTTGCCCAAGCCTGTGTGGAACTCCAGGGCTTGAGCAATCCTCCTAAATCAGTTTCCTAAGTAGCTGGGACTTACAGACACACACCACTGCCCCTGTCCTTGGTATATCTTAAAGGTCTTTGTGTCCCAGGATCTAGCACAGTTCCTGGGCCCAACAAGGAGTTGAGTAATGTTCGTTATCAAGTTAAGTAATAAGTGACTAAGAATATAACTAGTTTTTAACTATGTTATGGCCGATGTGATCCTGAAAGATAGAGGAAGATGACTGGGTCATGCAGTCCATTAGGAAGGCCCAAGCAGAGGATGAATTAGATGACTGAGGTCAACTGACTTATAATGTCCTATCAGAGGGGAAAGTCCCCACCCTTCTAGCCTAAGTTAGAATGTGGTTCCAAGGCCCTACCATTCCTACTATTTTGTTTTTTGGCAGGAATCTCTATTGGAAGAGATGACCATGAGACTGGGCCCCTTGTTGTTGGTCCTTGTGCTGGGTCTGGTTTTGACCCCACCAACTCTGGCTCAGAATGATGACGCCAGGTATATCAAATTCCTGACTCAGCACTATGATGCCAATCCGAAGGGCCGGGACGACAGATACTGTAATCGTATGATGGTGGATCGAAAGCTGACCTCTCCCTGCAAAGATCGCAACACCTTTATTCATGACAACAAGAAAAGCATCAGGGCCATCTGTGGAGAAGGCGGAAATCCTTACAACAATAACTTAAGAATAAGCATCTCTAAATTCCAGGTCACCACTTGCAAGCATTCAGGAGGGTCTCCCTTGCCTCCGTGCCGGTACCGAGCCTCCAAGGATTTCAGACGCATTGTTATTGCCTGTGAAAACGGCTTTCCTGTCCACTTTGACGAGTCTATTATCAGTCCAAAGCAAGCAGGCCCCTCGCCCAGAGATGGTTCTGCTTCCTTTAATCCCCTCTTAACCCACAACAGTGATGGCAACCTTCACTGTCAGTGGCCAGAAAAGGAAGTATCTGAAACTTCTGTCTCCTGATTTATGATGCACATAAATAAAGATGTCTCTAAAGCCATTAACAATCCGTCTGGAAGAATCACTAGTTCCTAGATAATTTAGCTTTTCATATGTTTTCTACTCAGCTGCTCCCTGGGATGAGAGGCAGGAGCAGAGATGTTCTTCCTTACCTGCTAATCAATGGTAGACTTCATCTTCCTGTGGTGGTGAGGATGATAATTGATTTACAGATGGGACAGATGGGGATTTTCGAAAGAGTCAAGTAATAGGTCACCAAAGAAGCCTTTAGGGAAAGGGTTCCGACTAAGAGCCGACACACCAAAGATATCCTCCCCACCCACTCCTCCTTTCCCTTACATGCACAGCACACAAACCAGCATGAGACTGTGAGCACTGAGGGGCAGACACAACATCATGCTGCCCATCCTCAGCAACTTAATGAGTTCCATTTATTTTTTTAGGGACCTCAACTCTGGCCAAACCAGATTCATGGTTTCACACACAGAAAAGAATTTCAAGACTAGTCTGTGTGAAGCAGAGTTGGGGATTTTTACCAATGATAACCATCTTAACATAGGCTATCAACATAAAGGTTGTGAGAGAGGCACTCAGAAAGTGCGACATACCCAAATGTGGGTGTGGGCTTCCCAACTGAGAGTCTTGGATTAGTCATATGTACAAGTCGGGTGCCTCTCAAGTCACTTCGTAAAAGGCTGCTAGGACATCTGCCCTTTTCTCTTTAAAATGACTTATTTTATTTTATGCATATTTTCTTTTATTATATGTGTTTTTGCCTGCATGTATGTATGTGCACCACATGTGTGCCTGGTGCCCAGGGAGGTCAGAAGAGTTGCTGGATCCCTTGGAGCTGAAGTTATTGATGGTCATGATGAGTGCTGGGATCCCAACCCAGGTCCTCTGCAAGAACAGCAAGTTCTTAACTGCTGAGCCAGCCACCTCAAGCCCCCTTTCTCTATCTTTTGATAAGTGGGGTCATAAGGTGACTCAGGAGATGCCTTGGGTGGAATTACCATCTGCAAAGGTAGAATCAGAAACCACCAGGGGCACACCCCGGTTTAGCACATGTTCTTTCCTTGGAAATAAGGTTTGCTCTTGGGTTCTTGGAAAGTGTGAGTTCACAGCTGGCAAGGGAGGTAGGCCTTAAGCAGTGGTGACTTGTGATGAAATACTTGCTTTCCAGACTGCAGAGTAGGGACTCCTTTCCATTCTTATAGCCCCTCTAGTTTTCCTTTTTATCCATTGAGTGTCTGCCTCTTGTCTTAAGGAATGGCTTTATTGTTGATTTTAAGGGAATACTCCAAACATATTGCTTTGTCACAGTTAATTTATTTAAAGTTTAAAAACTTGGCTACTTTTTATACTTTTTATTATTAATCTTTTACTTTATTGAGTGATGCTGGACAACTGTGGGGTCCTGAGGAAGTTATAGAAAGATTCCAAGCTTATTTTGCATTCTTCAGCCAGATTTGTCTTCAAGTGTGAAATGTCTCCTGTGGGATGCCGTTGGTACACTGGCCCGCCCACAGTTTCCGTAGGTGGTGTCTTGCTAGGGAAGACTTATGAACACATACCTAGATGTTGTATTTAGAAAACAGTTGCTAATAAATTAAAACTACCAGTTGGGCTGTCCTGTGGATATCTGAATATCAGGGCTGCAGTTTTATCTAACATGTCTCCTATTGCTATCTTTGCCCTAAACTGGGCCCAAAGTCCTACTTTTCCATTTCTCAAACTGTGGGCCAGTACTTGAGTGAGCCCAGCCTTTCTGACAATATTCGAATTTGGGAAGTCAGCTGCTGATGCTCAGCCCAGGAATCACCACCATCTCTTCAGAAAACAAGAAGAAGTTTTCCAATGTCTCTCATTAGAAAAGTTACCTTGAAAAATAAATATTCAATAGGCCAGTGAGGTCATTCAGTGAGGAAAGGTGCTTGCCACCGAGACGGATGACCCAAGTTTGGTTCAGGGACTCACATGGTAGAAGGAGACATCCTATTCCTGCAACAAACAAACAACAATAACAATAACAATAAAAATCACATGCCTGCATGGGTCTTTCTCACCCATTGGTGGAGAAGCAGTCGAAAACAGTCTTGGTGTTTTTGTACTGAGTCTCTTGCTCTATCATAATACAAACCTATTTAGAGTGAAATGTCAACTTACAGGGAAGGCATTGTGTCTCAATAAGCCATCTGAGAAACAGAAGACAGAATCATAGGTGATTGCTGGCTGTGCAAGGAACAGACAAGAAACACTCTCAAATTTCACAGAATGGTGACCATGTGAGGGAGAAAATTTCATGCAACTGGAGAGGAAATTCTCCCGGGAGACACAACACTAATAACTAGACCTCCGATTTTTTGAGAGTGTGATTAACTCTTTAAAATAAAGAGAGTCAATAATACTGAGCATAACACACTGTAGTCAGTTGTTATTTTCTCCTAAGTGAAGAAAGTAGAGGAAGAAAAAAGAAAAAAAGGGAAGACAGTTGGTTCTGAAGACCAAGCTGGCATTCCTTTTTCTGCTCTGCAAGAGTCGATCTCTGGCCCATCTCACACATGGCTTCCTTCTTCTCTGTTCTTCCTATGCTCTTCCTATTACTATGTAGTAAGTCTGCCTTCTGGAAGAAGTAGACCTGCCCCTCCATCCCAAAGTGACCCTGCTTTCAACTCCTTTCCTCATAGATACGTGCTCAAGGATAATGGGAATGCCCTAAGTGATCTCACTTCCTCCTTGGGGACTAAGCCTTGGACATGGGCCTTTGAGGGACTTTGAAACTCTGAACTGTGTAGCAGCTAGCACAGGAGACTCATGGTGTCCAAAGAAGTTCTTTTTTTTTTTTTTTTTAAAGATTTAGCTATTTATTATAAGCGCCGGAGATGGTTGAGAGCCATCATGTGGTTGCTGGGAGTTGAACTCAGGACCTCTGGAAGAACAGTCAGTGCTGTTAACCACTGAGCCATCTCTCCAGCTTGGCCCAAAGAAGTTCTTATTGAGAATCTTTGACACAGCGGGAGAGCCTTTGGGGAGAGTCCTGGTTAAAACTATACTAAATACGAAAGCCTCTCTCTTTCCTGTAGCCAAAGCTCGCCTGGACTTCTGCTATTCCTGCCTTTACCTCCTAAGTGTTGGGATTACAGGTGTGCCCCACCATGCCTGGCAGCGTGTGCTGCTGGCAATAGAACCCAGGGCTCCATGCATGCTAGGCAAGCACTCTACTGACCATCACAGCTTTATCTCTAGCTCCTTCATTTTCTCTTATAGTGAGAGCCTTTGAGATGCACCTATACGTGTCCACGTTGGACTACTCTGCTGCGACCCGCGCAGCTGGAGCACGAAATCTGGCGAGGGACACCGAGGTTAAACAGCACTCTAGACACCCAGTCTCAGTTCATCAGGGAAGCTCTCTTTATTCGTACCAACATGGGCTTATATACCCCTCCAACACCAGGGGTCAAGGAATGGTTACTCTGTATCCGGAGGCAAGCCGGACACTGTTTTCCAAACAGGAAAAACCACAGGGGAACTGATCCCCAGCACCCTCCGGAACCCAACTGCACATTTTTACACAAACAACTTAACTGGGACAGGACACAAAAGGGCATTTAAAATTAAGGCAGCAAACTTACTGCTGCCGACACTACTCCCCTAGGATGTCTTAGTGTGTCTTACTTATTCATTTGGTTAGTGTATCTGAAGAGTGTGTTTGCTTTTACATGAATACCTTAGGGTTTCTATTTAGCCAATTATCTAATCCATATTTTTTATTTATTTATTTATTTATTATGTATACAGTATTCTACCTGCATGTATCCCTGCAGGCCAGAAGAGGGCACCAGATCTCATTACAGGTGGTTGTGAGCCACCATGTGGTTGCTGGGAATTGAACTCAGGACCTCTGGAAGAGCAGTCAGTGCTCTTAACCTCTGAGCCATCTCTCCAGCCCCCTAATCCATATTTTAAGTTAAAAAGAAAGCATGAGTAGAGAGAGTAATTAAGACCCAGGTAAAATGAGAGGGGGTGGCAAATAAACACCCCATTCTGCTGAAGCTAAATTGTAAGTACTGTGTGTCCCTGCAGAATCTATGTCCGCGGTCTTGGAGAGACAGTGTTCTGTTCTGATCTCTGCTGCTGTGATGAATCCTTTGCGAACATAAAGTAATGGGGTGCATAAGGGTCTGCTTGACTTACACCTCTAGGTCACACACTCTCACTGAAGGAAGTCAGAGCAGGAATGTAAGTAGGTTGAAGCAGAAACCATGGAGGACTGCTGCTGGCCGGCTGGCTTGCAGACTCATGTCTAGTGGTTTTTTTCCCACAGTCCAGGGGACAGTGTTGCTCACAGTGGGGTGGGCTCCTCTACATCAGTTAACCATCAAGAACCCCATAGGCCAGTCTGACCTGGGAAATCTCTTAAGTGAAACTCCCTTTGCAGGTGACTCTTGGCCAGTGGTTCTCAACCTTCCTAATGCTGTTGCCCTTGAATACAGATCCTCATGTTGTGGTGACACCCCCCCCCCCCCGCAAACATAAAATTATTTCGTTGCTACTTATAATTGTATTTTTGCTATTGTTATGAATAATAACATAAATATCTGATACGCAGGATATCTGATATGCGACCCCCATAGGGGTCATGACCCACAGGTTGAGAGCAGCTGCTCTAGGCTAAGACAAGCTGATAGAACTAAATCAAGCAGCAGCTTTCCCTGCCTCTGTTCCTCTCAGGACCACGTATTTCCCCTCTGCCTGACATGGTGTTAGCAGAATGTACTGTTCCCTCTTTTGGGTCCCCTCGATAAAAAAAAAAAAAAAAAAAAAAAAAAAGCAAACAATAAAAAAAAAAACCTTAGAAACAGACTCAGAAAGAAGCTTGAGAACAATTTTATTGGAGTTTAAAAGAAAAATAATGGATGCAAGCTGTAAAACTTGGCAGCTACCCGAGGAAGCAGATGGAGAAGAGGAAGGAAAAAAGAATACCTTTTGAGTTAGGGTCTAGGAAAGCAGCCATGTCCAGCAGTGGAGTTCAGCAAGCAGCGCAAGGTAGGGGTGGAGGCAGGGGCTTAGAGAAAGAGTAAGAAAGCCCAGGGTTCTGGGAAGGCATGGCTAGAAATTCTGGCCAGTATCTGAAAGAAAGGGGATAGAAAGGACAAAAAAGAAAACATGCTTTCTGAGTAATCCAGACAAGTTAGCAGGCTGCAGGCCAGTGGCCCAGTAGTGGTTGTACTGAGGGATGGACTTCTGGACAGGTTAACTGCACTAGCTCATTAAAGGAATGATCGCCCATCCATCTCCTTAGTGTGGTTTTAGATCATCAGTCTTTCTGAGGGTCCGTTTCCTGGCCAGGTGATTGACAAGTAGAGCTGGATTAACCCTTAAGGAGGAGAAAATAGTAGATTATTTTCTAGTCTTTGGAGTGGAACAGAATATCATGTAACCATCCAGGGGCAGATATTCCACTCTTGACCAGGAAGCCCACAAAGTGCCAAGCTGATGCTCACCTGTCTAGTGTTACCAGGGAAACAGGAGGTAGGGCCCCAAACCAAACATGAGGGAGGGGCCCATCCTCAATGCCCTCAAGGCTACTAATAACTGTGGTAATGCTGTCTCAAATCTGTAGCCGGGGGCACAGAAGTAGGGTATAGACATGGCTGTGAAATTGGGGGGAGTGTTAAAGAGTAATACTTGCATTTGATACTGG